GTGTTCTACCTGTAAAGTGATTAGGACTGGTATGGAAATTGAACTTCTTGAATCAACTTTTACTACTCCAACCTTTTTGTTGAAATGATACCACCTGTTTAATAACAGTAGGATTAAAGAAAGACAGTCCAGATCAGCCCCTCAGAGAACATCCTTTAGTCATCATATATGATTTTAGATACTTTAGTTATATTTACTGTATTTATTTTGCTTTAAACACTTAAGTAATAATTATATTATTTTATAATAAGCACAGTTTATGAAAAAGTGAGATTAATGAGAAATTAATATTTTAATTTATTTAAAAAATAATTTATGAGAAAGTGAAACATTAAAAAATGTTTAATCATTGTGGTTTTAGTTTCAAAGAGTTTATAAACATTTAGCATCATCTTTATATTATATTAAACATGATTAAACAAGAGTAAATTTTATTTTAACATAAACGATACTATGAGTATCAGATTGCTTCAAAGGTTAAAAGTTCAAAATTATACTTTCTATAGAATGGACTTTACTGTATGTTTTTGAACAAAATTGATTAAACATAAGATCTGCACGCATTAAACTTATAATTACAAATAATTCTACGAATAACTAATTTGCATTACCAAATACAGAAAGGGGTGAGGTCACAGTCTCATTAAAGCAAGATTACATTTTATTTTTAATAAAAAAAGCCTTATCAGTGGAATCATCAAGTTTATACTGTAAGTACTTACAGTATATACAGTTTGTTCAATCATACTGTATGTTTTTTATTGTTTTTTGAACCTTGCAAGTGTTCATGGGAAATGTAGGTAAAATGTGCATGTCAAAAATTGACCAAAACAACCACAACAACTGACCAAGTTGAAGAATTTGATGCAGAAAATGTTTATGAAGAAAATGGTACCTTGTACCTTACTTTTTATTCTTATCTTCCTACACCAGCTATATAAACATATGATATTAATGTTCATAAATGAATATAGTTAATAATATTTAAAAAGGTTATTATACTTTAGTTAGTTTTATTTTCATCTGCCAGAATGTCATTCATTATGTGAAGTGGATTCCATATAATGTGGATTTAAAGAAGGCTTCCAGTACATGAATTTCAAACTTCAAAGTACCATACATACTGTACTGTAATGATCTAATGCAAGAGCTCTCAATCTAATGGATGGATCCAGGGCATACAATCCCCTTTTCAGAAAAAAAACAACTGTACAGCCACATTACATTTTAAAATGGTAGCTAACCACGTACATTATTTAGTATGTTTTGTATAGAATATAAAATGCTATATTTTCAAGAAATATGATAATTCGATTAAAAACACCTAACATCTAACATAACACAATAACCAATGAAGCAGTGAAGGGCTAATTCAGCATGCCAGAACAGACTGTACTATACCATAGTTTTCTTTCCGCTAATGCGAGTTTTGACGTGCTTTCCAGATGGCTGCATCAGTAGGAAAAACAAGCCTCAGCATTCCTGGAGGAGATGGAATGATGTCTTCCTCAAATATTAATCCATCACATTGGATTACACATAAAGGAAATTCTCTGAAATGGAAACTTCTGTCATAAGATTGAACAACTGAAATTGCTTCTTTAGAATCTTTACATAAACACTGTATACTACAGTACATCCCTCAAATGACAGTACAGTACTGAATTTCCAAATAGAGGCAGAAAATGAAGCCTTGCTCACAAGATAAGCTCTGGCTTATTATGTGTGCTTGGGGAGGTAAACAACAGAGGCACATAAAAAAAAGCACAAACACTTTTATTTTGAATGGCTGCCAAATTGTTTCTATGGTGAAGGAGAAAGTTGAAAAAAAAAAACAGTATTTAAAAAACAACACAAGAGTGTTCTCAAACCAAGTTCGCAAGGTAGCACTAAACCGACACTAAAACCTCAACTTATTTTTTAAATAAGTTAAAGAATTTATTGAATCATTGTTTACAATTGAAGAAAATTGTCTGCAATAGAGAATGAAGGAACTGGCAATTTTATTAGCTCCAGAAATGCACCTGTTGGTATTCTACAGTTCTCTCAATGAGGTAATACAACTGCCATTAAAGTCAATATATTCTATGAGAGCTCAATTAGTGAATCAATTGCTCAATGAAATGAATGCAAAGAAAGTGAAGCTCATGAAGTGCTAGATCAGCAAAACGTAGCTACAATCCAAAAGTACAATCAAATATGTTCTGCAAGGTGAGAAACACTTACAAGGTTAACTTTGTCAATAAATATCTTTCAAAGCTTAATGCTGCTTTAGGGGCCAATCAACTACTGACATTACAAATAATGTAATATCTTAGGTTTTGGACCAGCCTCTACTGTAAAAGTTGAGTGAAAAGTGCACACGTAAGTATACTGTACATTACTTTATACGTATATGTAATTATATATGTAAGTATACATTACTTTAAGTGCACTGCATACTGTACCACCTCCAAACATTAGCTCTTGCTAGATACAGTATCTCAACATTAAAACATTCACAAATATATCCAGGAGCTTAAGGGGACTAATCAAATAATTTTCAAATCATAAATTAAAAATGATATCTCCATTAAAGCATACACATTTGATTTAAAAGATAAAAGAGCACTGATGAAACAGATACAATTTTGTGAAGTTCTGTATTTGATCTGAAGCTTCCCAAAGCTTAGGAGATTTCTAAAGCAAGCAAAGGTAATGACAATTCTGTATTTTAAGAAATCTGATTTTGTCCTTTTTTTCCTTTCACTGATATCATTCTATTGTGTTTAAATGTCCTTTTCAAACAAAGGTCTTGAACATTTGTGCACTCAAAGTCCAGTTTTTTTTTTAAATAGAGCCTTCTAAATAGAGCCTTCTGCTGCAAAATACCACTCATAAAGTTCAACAAAGATGTCAAATGTGCCTCAAACATATGCTGGATGTATTAATGCCATAACATTAATATTGTGATTAAATATTAGTATATCTTAATGCAAATGTAAAATATTGTTTCACCAACATTCAACATTCATCAACAAATTCTGAATTGGAATTCCTTAAATTGTCAACACTACTCTCATAAACCTAGATTTAATAGGATTCCTTTCTCCTCATTTTAAATAAACATACCCGTACACTCAAGAATATAAACTCCTAAATGTTTATGATCCTTGTACACTCATTAAATGTCACTATTAAGGCTAAATAATTGAAACTGGACAAAACTTGTTTCTGGAAGCAAGACAGACAATGAACTATGGAAATTTGAGGCAATACAACTCTAATTATATCGATCTGTGTTGGCTAAAAAGAAACATTGATGTTACTGATGATGGATATAGACAAAGTAATTCCCTTTCTTGTCACCAAGCTTAGCTTGTATCATGTATCCAATTTCTAATTAGATAGCACCAACAACTTTAACCACAGGCTAAGCAAATTATTGTGATTAAGAATCTTCTACCCATAATCTGAACTTTTTCTACAAAAAGTACATTAAAAATGAATTTTTGGATGAATTTTAAGACTCTGCTACCTAAATACAGTATCTCATTTCACAGGAAACGTAAAAAAAAAAACAAATTTAATGCCAAATAGATCATGCTTTCTAGATCTTTACAAAGTACTAGGTAAACTTTTCTTTACACTGGGGCTTTAGACATTAGATTCATTAGATTAAGAAATGTGAGGCATTTGATAAGCAGATTTTAAACAAATGCAGATCAATACAAGCAATTTACACTGCAATTTAAAAAATGCATGTTTATTTTTTTCTTAGGAACATGGTAGTAGGATAGACTTTGGGTTAAGCTGTAGAACTGAAGAGTTAAATAGATATTCTTATAATCATCATTATACTAATCAAGTTTAACGGAGTATTAACAACATTTTTTTAGATATTAATTTATTATATTTATCATGTAAGATTAAAGTCGAAAAGGAATAAATACATCCACAAATCCAAAAATCAGAGGCATTATGAATATTTGTATATTTTTGGAAATAACTGGCTTGGGCAAGGGCCAGTTCTCTGGATATAGGACAAAGAGGCTTGAACCCATTCAGAGCCAGGGAGTGACCAAAGAATAACTGCAAAGGTGGAGATAGGGTGGAGGAAGGATTCATTACACCAACGTGAAAAGAGTCATTTGTGTTCAATACACATATAAAGCAGCTGATTTTGGTAATGATTATGATTTAGAACAACTAGGTGATATTGACTTCTGAACTTAAGAACTTCCATTTATTGTATGATTTATAGCATGATCAGTATTCCATGTCTATCCAGTGTTTTAAAATTTTAAAGAACCTCAGTGTATAGTAGATTGATCATTAAAGAATGTTTAACACTTAGTTAATTTAATTTGTTAGTAACAGCTTTGTCTGCTACTGACTAAGTTAACCTTTCACCTAAGTCTTAAATAGGATATAAATAATAATGCATAGTGTTAACTAACCTACATCAGAGGTTCTTAATATTGGTATTGGGGAACCACTGTCTTTATTGGTTTTCTGGCCCTTAATTGTCAATGTTAACTGATGCAAGTACTGTAGCTGATCTGCTTACTTGTTAAGACTTTTTCTTTGATTTAAAAATACATTGGTTAATGTATTAATTTTTACAGTGTCAAAATATACAGCTGAACTCAAAAGTCCCGTCTCAACTTGTTAATTAGAAATTGGCTCCTAAATCTATTAGTAAGCAACTGATTTGTGATGAACAGTCACAGATGGGAATGGCAACACATCAAACACTTGTATTTGTATTCTTTTCCTTTGACTTAAGTCCAATTTATTGCATTCCAGCTAATACACCTGAATATCAGGATTTTTGATACATGGGATTGGTATCAATTCCAAACTCTTCATAACTTTTTACATGCTGGAAGAATATTAAAACACATGCCAAAAATAGAAAAAAGTAAATAAATAAGCCAGTAATTCATGACTTGGCTGGACCAAAAATGAGAAATGACCTACGTGAATAAAAAAAAAAACTGCTTAATCAAACTTCTTACCTTATTAAGCAGAGAATATTGATTTACAATCCAACTGTCCTTTCCTTTTTAACCTGAAATAAAGTCATTTAAGATGGTTGAATTACTTTAAGATGTAACTAGATATGCACTTTAAGTTTATTAATAAATAGCAGCATTAAGAGATTCTGATCTCAGCAATTTATGAAGGCAATTCATAACATAGCAGAAAAACTGAAGATTTCATACAGAGTTACATGGACAAAAGAATGTGAAATGGATGAATGCAGAAATCAAAAAAGGAGAAATGCGAAGGTTTAAAACTAGGAATCCTAAAATAAAAACCAAAGCTTAAACTTGCTTAAACTTACTTAAACTTAGGACACAAAGTCAAGCAACCAGTTGGCAAATATGATTTTTTAATTCCCCTTTGAAGACCAATTCAAAGGAAATACTGAAATTAAGAATCTAAAATTGACATAATGTCTTTTTGTTCAAAAGACATACTCTCCAAAACACTATACTTAGAAACCACAGATTAACATGTATATCATGCATTCTAAGTTTTACACATCTGGAAATGAAGGTCAAACCATGCACAAAAGATGGATTCACAAGGTTACATATATTGTGCTGTGTGAAAGCCCATTTAGGCACAGCGATTAAAAATCAAAGACCATATCCCTCCATTATTACTAAGAAATCACTTTGTCTATCTTTTCCACATGGCTTCACATCGGACGCTTAAGTTGCATAAGTAGGTCAGCCTCGTAATTTGCGAGGAAGAAAATAAGTTGGTAATTCAACAGAAATCAAGATGAATAACATTACAGATACAACTTTTAAATTTATGAATTTTATATTGTCATATTGCCAGGTGGCAGTTGATAAGGTATTTTAAAGCAAAGCTTGAAGATCAGGAAAATAGGAATTTAAGGAGCCAAATGTTAACATACAGTATGAAGTGCAAAACCCAGTGCACACTATACAGCTTTGAAGCATAAACTAACACTGACTGATGATGATCCATTACCTATGTAATTATCTAGTGCTGTACTTCAATTCCTATTACCTGGCATTCCATTTGCTCTGACATTGCTGTTAAATGTCATTAAATCATTATCATCTACACAAATATTTCCAATGGTATATTTAGCATGACTAAATTTAATCAATATTGTTGTACATAATAAAGAAATACAATTAATATAAATAGAACATAATGCTAGAAATGAGAGGTATGCTTTTTATTTTTTAATACTTATTTCAGATTCCATGATACAAGTGAGCTTCTCTGTTCAAGACTAAAAAAGTTTGGCTTTTTTTAGACTATAAGTATATACTAATTTGAAATAAAAAACAAATACATTTAGGCCTCCTGTTTCTCTGACTGATTTCCATATCCTACTGTATGTTACAAATTAACGGAAGAGGGAACATTTGGCCTTTAATCTATTTACAAAATATTTAAAATAGCAACTCATGTACTTATCACATTTATCTTACAGTAAGTGATCAGCCTCGTGTTGATTGCATAGAAAAAAATGAACATGGTAAATATATTTTAATGTATTATTTTGAGGGTCTGTTATTGACAGATGTTTAAGAGCCACAGAAATTTGACCTTCGTTATCATGTATTAACAGTCAGTCCAGAAGTGTAGGGGTGCCATTTCATAATGAAGCCAAATTTACAGCATGTCGAAATTCTTCAAGTTATTTTTGTTGTTGCTGACAAGAAACTATAATGTTTTATGTTTTGATTTCAGTTTTTAAATTTGAAGTTGTATTTCAACATAAACTCTTGAAGAAACAGCCAAAATAATTATTTTATCCATCTTTTCCCCTTATAAGAGTTTCAACTCATTTTTTTAAGAAAAAGAAGTCTGTCTAACTGGGGTGCTGTTTGAAATAGACAATAAAAAACAATATTTGCAAACATCAAATATGAAATTCTATTGCCTGCAAGCCCTCCTTAGGAATTTTAAGCGGTCTAAATCTCATTAATGGATTATTTACCATGGCACTATTCAAAACAGCATGTCAACTCACCACCTCTGCTTCAAGTTTGCTTAAACAGCACTATTTTTCCATTTCCATTTTCATAATCCTGTTAAGCTTTATTTGTAGGAAGTGGGGGTAGTTTCTTCTGCAACAAAGGGTAATATGCTTCACGACAATGGGTATTCCACCAAAATATTCATTGATTATTTTATCAAGATCTTCTTAGACTTCAGACAAAATTAAAAATATAACATTATTGTATATACTGTAAGAATAAAGCTTTATAAAACATAAAACCTGACACTGTAACAAAATCCTTGTTTAGAGCATCAGTTCCTATTTGATTTATAATCTGTTGAAGGGAAAAGCAAATTTATTGAGTTTTTATATTACTCATCTACTGTAGTTACTGTATGACATCACAAGTTATAATGTTAAAGACAGCACAGCAGAAAGCATGGATACTATACTTCAGAACACCTCAGAGTCTGAAAGCAGATACAGTACAGCATTGCTATTGAATCAAAAGTCAGCTTTTATAAAAAAAAAACAAGAACAACTCAATGAATAAGAACGTGAACAGAATTATTCAAATGCATTGACTAGTGCTGTTGACTCTTCAACATACTGTACTTGTGATGTTCCTCCCGTCTACTTAATTAGCTCTTTGCCACCCATGTTAATTTTAAAGGTGTACTGTATGTCACTTACTTACATAGTATCAGGGTCAATTATTTAGTTAATATACAGCAAACAATTTGTCTCCAATTTGAACTTAAGTTACAGGTCAGAGATTGTGCTTTCAGGAGATGCAGATGATCATAGCTGTGCTGCATATTTTGTTTCACAATTTTCACTTGTCCAGAAATTAAGGTCTGGTGCTCTGGTACATCATGGTGATACATTATGCCCTTTCTTGCCAAAACATGAGAATCTAATTAATGAATAATGTGCTTAGCAATACTCTGCTGGCAATACAAATAGCCTGATCAGAACATAGCATGTGTCCCACACGGCTTTTAAAATATGAGTAGCCCCATTCTGTTTTGGCCAGAGCAATTTCAGATGAGTTTTTGATTACCTTGTAGTGTTGGATTAATCTGCATATTCTGCTAGTTTCACCAGTTGCAATTATGACTGAAATGGGTTATTTTTGCCATGGGGAAAGGTAATTCTCCTGCTCCTCAAGCCAATCACACATGTACAGTATCATCACACATTAATCTGTAATGTAGTTTGACTGAGGGTTTCTTCTTTTTTCTGTGTAAAGAGAAAGTGAAGGGTGGCACATGACGTGCAAGGTTCAGTGGCTAGCATTGCTGCCTTGCAGTGCTGGAGCTCTGGGTTCAGTTAGTGAGGTGCTATCTGTGAGGAGTCTGCATGTTCTCCTTATGTTTACATGGGTTTCCTCTGTGTGCTGCAGTTTCCTGTCCAAAGACATACATGGTAGGTTACTTGACTTCTGGGATAACTGGCCTTAGTGTGAGCATGTGCATGTCTGTGTGTGCCTTGCGATGTAGTAGCAAGGCACACACAGTAGCTTCCCATTCTGGGTGTACCTTGCCTTGCACTGTTTGCTTGTCAGGATAGGCTGTCAGGATAGGCCCCTGTGACACCGAACTTCACTGCAAACTAAATTACTTACAGTATATTTCCTAGAAAATACCTAAAAACCTATTTGGATATTTATTATTAATTCCAATGATCAGGACTCTAAGTTTTATATTTACTGTACTAACTTTACGTTTCTTAGTTATGAATAAGTGCGTTTTGAATTAAATTTCATTAATTCTTTCACGTAAGGAATGATATACATGTATAATTACAGTAACACTTTAGAGGTTGCAACTACAAGTGCATTTTGAAGAGCATTTAGAACACATTAGAGTGACTCAAGTGATAGATGTTAACTTCCAAGAAGACACAAAGAGCAGGTCGCACTTGCAACGATCACAAATTAAAATGTATAATCAAATCAGACGTAGTTGCAGGCACCACATACTGTACAGTAGCAAAAAATAAAATCCAAAGGAATTAAAGCCCTGAGACCAGAGTGGGGACCTGAAATAGATTCAGGCACATTTTGGAGGTGAATTGTGGTGGCAATCTTCCAAAATCAAGCATGAAGTGCTGATGTAAATGATGTAAAGAGGACAGAGAAACAAAGAACAGGTACAGAGCTAATCAAAATTAAGAAAATAATCAGGCTCCATGCTAATATTTACCGAATCATACACTTATGTTAATCATAGCCTGGTTTGAAAGGAATTGATATCATCACAAAAGGACAAAATCGGTAAGTCTTTTTAGTCTAAGATAAGGCTTATGGAATTTGAAAATATTAAAATAAAACGTGTTTGGATATAGTACTTTATCATTTCATTAATTTCTACAAACTTGTCTTAAAAGCAATAGTTTTTGATTTGTTATAATATTCCAAAATAATTGCTGCAGTTTAAGGCAGTAAATAATGTGTGATATCATGCTGCTTGTGAGTGAAAAAGATGTGCAACTGAGGCTCATCCCTTGAATAGTGATGTCGACATTTGTTTGTATGGTTCAAATGTCTAAAGGGTATTCTGTAAAATAATGTCTAGTCTTAGTAACTAACAAATAGTTCCACAATTTAGAATTAGTAATACCAAATTCAACACAATTGCCGCTATCACCATCTCTTCTGCAGTTTCTGTCTCTATATAGTATAAAAGAAAAGGTTTCCAGTAAATATAGACAATGAATGATGTCCAGTCTTGGTTCTGGGAGGCCAGTGTGTCTGCAGGTTCTTTTTCCAGCTCTTTATGCTCTTAACCAGCTGGTTACTAGCTTAACTGGACTACTTCAGCACTTTTACGTTTACTGAGAGCTAGTGTGTGGTACCGAGTGTACCAGTGTAGAATGGCTGCCTTCTCATCATCCATGTTGTCCTATACATTGTTGGTGGTGAAGGGGAGTCCCCATTACCTGCTAAAATACTAAAATTGCTTCTAATTTTAATATTTTAGCATAAGAACTTCTACCAATACTTCAGGTGCACATTCAAAAAGCCCGCTGCCAGGATTGGTATCTGATATAACAAATAACTTTTTTGAGGA